TTCCATTTGCCAACAAGAGTCTTCAATAAAGGTAAAAGTGATGTTAAATGTTCATTTATCCATTTCATTAGTCATTTATATTTATTTCTCATTGTTTTCTGTATGTAAACCTATAGTTATTCCCTATAAAATGTATTTTTTGTTAATATTTTTGGGTGTCTGGATTGGATTAATTTGCTTACATTATTTCTTATGGGAAATATTGCTTCAGTTTTTGTACAATTCGGTTTTCATCAGATTTTCTGGAATGAATGAATCACGAAAACCAAGGTTCCACTGTATTAAGTTGGATATTTAAGCCTCTGTTGCCAAACAGCATAAAGTATGTTTTGTTTATGTTGAAAGTGAGTTTGTTGATCATCCAAGTACGTACGGTGGTACCTCGGTATATGTCCGCTTTGGAATAAGTTCAACTTGGTATACGACCTGTTTAGACGTGAAAATTTTTGCTTGGTATACAACTTGTTTGGAATATGACTCGCATGCTAGAACTTGTGTGGGTCAGAATGAGTCATGACAGGCAGGTCCATGGGGTCTGGATGTGAGTGATGATGTGGAGGAGTTAGTGGAGGGGCACAGGGAAGAGCTGACCACTGAGGAGCTGCAGGAACCTTGAGGAGGAGCACATAACTAAGATGGATGCACTTTCTTCAGGCTTGGAAGAGGAGATATAGGAAGTCCCTACTTCATTAATCAAGGAAATCTTTACCAAATGGATGCAGAGAAGTACCACCCCAACAAAGCCCAAACAAGCCATAATAGCATTGTCTGGAATGACCAGACAGTGTCACATTTTCAAAACATCCTGAGGAGAAGGCAATAGCAAAGTTCTTTGGATGGACTTTTACTAAAAGTCAAACCTGGCGAGCTTCAATAAGGTCCATATAGGGAAAAGAGAAGGAGACTCTCCTTCCAAGCAATAACATTTCCTCCTCCTCCCTTCTCATCACTATTCTAGTAGGCACTCAACTCTTTTCAGCAAAGTAAAGTGAGGTTAAATTTGCATTTATTTCATCTAATTCTTTTGCATTTATATATGTATTTTAGTATTAAGCAGTGTTTAAATTATTTCATACAACCCCATCGATGTATAACATGCCAATAACAATAGGATTTTTTTCATGGGAACGGATTAATCGCTTTCCCTATATTTCTTATGGGAAAATTCGTTTGGTATATGTCCGATTTGGTATAAGTCCAAAGTCCTGGAATGGATTAAGGACATATACTGAGGTACCACTGTACAGTGGACCCCCGCATACCGATTTTAATCCGTGCAAGAGGGCTCATTGGTATGCGAAATAATCGGTATGCGAATGAATTTTCCCCATAAGAAATAATGGAAATCAAATTAATCCGTGCAAGACACCCAAAAGTATGAAAAAAAAATTTTTACCACATGAAATATACATTTTCCTACACACAAAGAGAAGGATACATGCACAATAGTAGAGTAGTACATGCACAGTATATATTGTGCATGTACTAGTCTACTAAATGAAGAATAAATGACACTTACCTTTATTTAAGATGCAGCAATGACTGATGAGACACTGTGTCCTGGGAGTGCGTTTTCCTCCTGAGTACTCTAGGTCCTGTTTGGCATTTTCTTCCAGAACAGGCCTTATCACACTGTGTATGTCACTACGATTCTTAAATCTCTCAAACCAACCTTTGCTGGCTTTAAATTCACCAATATGAGCACTAGTTCCAGGCATTTTTCCCTGTTCACCTGGGTGTTAGTCGACTGGTGTGGGTTGCATCCTGGGAGACAAGATTAAGGACCCCAATGGAAATAAGTTAGACAGTCTTCGATGACACTGACTTTTTTGGGTTATCCTGGGTGGCAAATCCTCTGGGGTTAATTGTTTCTTGGTATATTCTCAATAAGCCACACCAACAACAGTGCTACAGCAGCAGCAGACGATGCTACAGCAGCAGCAGCAGCAGACGATGCTACAGCAGCAGCAGCAGCAGACGATGCTACAGCAGCAGTAGCAGCAGACGATGCTACAGCAGCAGCAGCAGCTGACAGTGCTACAGCAGCAGCAGACGATGCTACAGCAGCAGCAGACGATGCTACAGCAGCAGCAGCAGCTGACAGTGCAGCAGCAGCAGCAGCAGCTGTACCACCAATATAGTAGCGATGGTTGATTGGGGTTCATTATACAACCTGGCCAGCTCGGAGACACGCACTCCACTTTCATACTTATCAATGATCTTTTTCTTCATCTCTATAGTAATTCTCACCCTTATTGCTGTAGGGTTGGCACTAGAAGCTTTCTTGGGGCCCATGATCACTTATTTTCCAGATAAAATCACCAAAAATACTGTAATAATACGAAATGTTACGATTGTATGCTTGGATGCTACCGCGGAGGCTGGCTGGTAAACAATGCCACCGGCGAAACATGTGAGGCTGGCTAAGGCGCACATTGGACGCGTCTCGGACGAACAGCGGTGAGCGGGTTTTTGAGCGGTATGCGAGGCAAAATTTTTGCGATTAAAGTGAGCGGTATGCGGAATAAACGGTATGTGATGCCAACGGTATGCGGGGGTCCACTGTATATATTTTGAGCATTCGTTGTTTACAGTGTCTCTAAGTGTAGCTGGGTTTGAGTGGGAGTAGACAAGTACGTACTGTAGTGGATATTCATTTTCATTGAGGGCTGTATATAATAGTTCAAGCATTTGTATAACAGTGTCATTCATACTTTTTTGGTCTGAACCCAGACTGGCAGGGGTTGTTGGATTTAAGGTAGGAGTAAAGTAATTTTTTTTTTTTAATGGGTGAGACGTGAGTAGAATTAGTTGGAGCTAGATATAGAGTACAATGGACCCTCGGGTAACGATTTTAATCCAATTTTATCGTTAGCCGAATTAATTTTCCCCACAAGAAATAATGGAAATCCAATTAATCCGTTCCTTCTGCAGGAGGCTTAACAGAATAGTACTTCAATATGGTGCTATTTTCAACTCTACGGCTTATTTATCTATCACAGTTCATCTAATATGACATAATAAACAAACAATATTAATAACATAGAAACATGATATATACTCTAGAATGAATAAAATGTCATAATGTATGTGAGAATAAGTGATGGAAATGTTGTTGTTGGGTTTTTAATGGCCACTGAGAGGAGCCAGTCAGGCTTCTGCCACCACCACTATCCACAAACAATATATGAACATAATTTATAAATAGGAAACATTTACATTTTAATTTAAAACTAAGTTAGTTTATTCAGGTATACACAAATACAGTTACGTACATAGATTATCATACATAGCAGCATATGTGTAGAGTACGTACCTAGGATAACCCAAAAAAGTCAGTGACTTACGTATTTCCATTGGGGTCCTTTTATATTTACACTTTTGTATATACATTTACCTTGGAGGAGATGTTAGTTTAATTGGTTTGATGGAGGAGATGCTGGCAAAGTTTTAGAGTGGTGGAAGGTACATAGCAGGCCGGCGTATGTTCAGCGGCCCAAGACACACACGACATTGGAGAGTTACTTTCGTGTCTTTTTCTATTGCTTTTTCGCTTAACTTGCTTGCTACACTGTTAATTCTACACTTTATCGCTGGCTGGCACTATAGCCTTTATCAATATCTGCTGCTTTAGTATTGTACATATCGTAGAATCACTGAATCGCTGTAGAAGGCACATTCACCCCTCTCCCTTCCTTCTCCACTTTGGTACTTTGCTATGAGTTTTTTCTTGAATTTTATTGTGTTTCTTTCCTTCTTTATCACAGGGCTGGCACTAGAAACTTTCTTTGGGCCCATGGTGGCTTATTTAGCAGTTACAAGCACTAAAAACGATGGAATAATACAAAATATATCGCATGTACGTGTGGAATTGTCCTCCCTGGCTTGTAAACAATGGCACTCTACCTTGTACATGGGCTCAGGCAGCGCAGACATGTTTGGGATGAATGTCCTTAACTGAGTTTTTCATCGTTGGGCGAACCAATGTTTTTACGCAAAAACGCATCGGTATTCAATTTTATCGCTCTCTGATGGTATCATTTCCCGAGGGTCCACTGTATTTGGGTAGTTGCCAGTGAGGTAGTCTTTGGGTGAGTATTTGAGCTTGAAATTTTCCCTGCTAGCTTTGATCCTACAATGTAGAAGAAGACATAAAGTTTGTTGGTCCTGTCTATAGGCTGTATGTGAGGTTCATCTGGTTTAGTTAAGTTTATCTCTGTTTCTAGACAGTTTTCTAGAGCCCAAAATTTTGGAGGGGATTTGCCAGGTGCTTTTCATATCACCTTTTATTTCAATAAATATCCATCATGTCAATGAAAGTTGTGAATTATGTCATAAAAGGTCTTTTCACATGTATTTCACTTGGGAGACTGCTCAGGTGTTGGTTATGGTGGAACTGTTTTTTTCACTGGTCTGGCAACTCACATAACTGAATCCTAAATGCTCATTGGCCACAATGGCATGTTGCACATTTTTGTTTTTTGTTTTCGGCAGGCTACATTTCTGTAAACTGCGTGAAATTATAACCAGTATTTCTTTCCATTTCACCATTCTGACATACTAATACACTATATAAAATGTTAAAATGTAATATGCTGTATAACAAATCATTCTAATCTGACATTTAAACATTGTCCAGTATGTAGTTTAAATATATCTTTAAGACTACCCAAAATGCTCTGCATAACCAGGGACTTTCCATTGAATCTGTATTTACTGTATTGTTTTTATTGTATTGCATACTGTATTTACCTACATTAAGCATTTTCATTTCCATGAAAATGAAGTTTTAGGTCAGTGGAATCCCTAAACTAAATACTGCATTAGACTAAATTGTAAAGTAGCATTATTAAAGAAAATGTTACGAGTTGCTTAAAAAATCCGTTGATAGGTAAATTAATGGAAATTGTTGTATGTGACTATGGCTTGACTAGGATTATCCAGTAGGCCTACTGTGGTGTTCTGCTATGTTTCAAGTAATGTACAATATATCTTTCCAGGTGACCAGAGAACAGGCTATCTGCAACAGGGATGGCAGAAGCACACTCGGCAGTGGCATTCTCCTTTGCCATCACTCATGAAGGAGTTCATGTGAATTATGACCGGGAAGTACTCCACGTCATTTGGCATTCTGGAGTTAGGACATGGCGACGAGGTATCCGCCGATTCATTGTAAGTGCTTGTAATTTAATTCTTAACTTAAAAGATAAAATGTTCTGAGACTATCATACAGTAAATAATGAAAAACTGTGTGAATGTGCGGATGATTGGCACTGCAGAAATAAATCTCTGACTGTGGAGGTGATGAGAACTGCGGGCATAAAGGAGAGAGATTTCACAAGTGATCATAGAAAAGAGCAAGGTTAGGAGAGTAACAAAAAAAGTCTAGTCAATGAAAAATTGTATACAGTAGGCAATGTGGCAGATGTTGCAAGTGTATGGTGTAGGAGGTAGGTTACTGAAAGCAGTGAAGAGTTTTTACGAGGATAGTGAGGCTCAAGTTAGAGTATGTAGGAAAGAGGGAAATTATTTCCCAGTAAAAGTAGGCCTTAGACAAGGATGTGTGATGTCACCGTGGTTGTTTAATATACTATTTATAGATGGGGTTGTAAGAGAAGTAAATGCGAAGGTCTTGGCAAGAGGCGTGGAGTTAAAAGATAAAGAATCACACACAAAGTGGGAGTTGTCACAGCTGCTCTTTGCTGATGACACTGTGTTCTTGGGAGATTCTGAAGAGAAGTTGCAGAGATTGGTGGATGAATTTGGTAGGGTGTGCAAAAGAAGAAAATTAAAGGTGAATACAGGAAAGAGTAAGGTTATGAGGATAACAAAAAGATTAGGTGATGAAAGATTGAATATCAGATTGGAGGGAGAGAGTATGGAGGAGGTGAATGTATTCAGATTATTTGGGAGTGGACGTGTCAGCGGATGGGTCTATGAAAGATGAGGTGAATCATAGAATTGATGAGGGGAAAAGAGTGAGTGGTGCACTTAGGAGTCTGTGGAGACAAAGAACTTTGTCCTTGGAGGCAAAGAGGGGAATGTATGAGAGTATAGTTTTACCAACGCTCTTATATGGGTGTGAAGCATGGGTGATGAATGTTGCAGCGAGGAGAAGGCTGGAGGCAGTGGAGATGTCATGTCTGAGGGCAATGTGTGGTGCGAATATAATGCAGAGAATTCGTAGTTTGGAAGTTAGGAGGAGGTGCGGGATTACCAAAACTGTTGTCCAGAGGGGTGAGGAAGGGTTGTTGAGGTGGTTCGGACATGTAGAGAGAATGGAGCGAAACAAAATGACTTCAAGAGTGTATCAGTCTGTAGTGGAAGGAAGGCAGGGTAGGGGTCGGCCTAGGAAAGGTTGGAGGGAGGGGGTAAAGGAGGTTTTGTGTGCGAGGGGCTTGGACTTCCAGCAGGCATGTGTGAGCGTGTTTGATAGGAGTGAATGGAGACAAATGGTTTTTAATACTTGATGTGCTGTTGGAGTGTGAGCAAAGTAACATTTATGAAGGGGTTCAGGGAAACTGGCAGGCTGGACTTGAGTCCTGGAGATGGGAAGTACAGTGCCTGCACTCTGAAGGAGGGGTGTTAATGTTGCAGTTTAAAAACTGTAGTGTAAAGCACCCTTCTGGCAAGACAGTGATGGAGTGAATGATGGTGAAAGTTTTTCTTTTTCGGGCCACCCTGCCTTGGTGGGAATCGGCCAGTGTGATAATAAATAATAAATAAATAGACCTTTATATTCCATGGTAGTTACATTCCTGAAAATGCCTTGTTAGATAAACTGAGTAACTTGTAGGGAAAATAGGGTTACTTTCCTGGGAGCCCCAAAAAAGCCAAATAACTTTTTTTAGACCTCCAGATTTGACAAAAATACAAGTGAATATGTAATTGTTGTTCATTGTTGTGATGTATTATGTTGTTTTTACTGCTTAAGACTACAAATGTAACAGAAATAATAGTATTTCTTACCTTAAATTGTGGGTGCTAGTGTTTGTTGATTGTGAAGAGAGAGGAGAGTTATGCTGTGGCCCTACTGGGCTGAGATGGATGGTAGAGTTTCTGGTACTGAAGTCGATGGTTGTACTGGAGTGTGCATAAATTCTGTAATGGATTTCTGGGCTATTTTACCCTGCAGTACATTATACAGCTGATGGTAAGGCATCAGCTGCTCCAGATACCATTTCAGAGCACTGCTTCTGGATTTTTCAGGGTCCTCTTCAGTGAAAAAGTCTAACTTTAAATCAATCAGTTGAGTCAAGTCGGTTGAGTCATTGCTTTGTATTCTGCTGAGGTTGAAATGCACAGACCACCATTCTGCCTTGTTTTTCCCCTGTAATCAGTGTTTATTAGATTTTGTTGAACTTGCAAGTGTATTTAATTACCCACAGGCAAATAATAATCAAAACCAATTAAGGCTGTTTACTCCTCCCTGATATTGTAAAAACCCCAAAGTCTTGCAGCCCTTTCCGGTATACCTACAATGCTACAACATGAAAAATAGAAATGTACAATGCTGGTATGCAAAAATAAATCCATTTTAAAAGGGTTAAACATATCAAACAGTTACAGCCTAGCTACTATACGGTATTCCAATTGACTCAGACTACTGTGTATTTTTGAATGGCAAATTGCAGCTTTGGCTAGTCTTTTCAACATATCACTACAAACCGGCATGGTGCCAGACAAGTGGAAAATGGCAAATGGAATACCTATTTACAAAGCAGGAGACAGGTCCTTAGCTTCGAACAATAGACCAGTAAGCCTTACCTCCATAGTGGGAAAATTATGGAATCACTAATTGCTGAGGCAATTTGTAGCCATTTTGAAAGGCATAAATTGATTAACGAATCTCAGCATGGTTTTACACGGGCATTCCTGCCTTAGGAATTTATTAGCTTTTTTCACCAAGGTATTTGAGGAGGTAGATCATGGTAATGAATATGATAGTGTACATGGACTTCATTTCAGTAAGGCTTTTGAAAGTTCTACATCAGAGGCTATTGAGGAAAATTAAGGCACATGGAATAGGAGGAGAAATTTTTTCCTGCATTTAGGCATGGTTGACAGATAGGCAGCAGAGAGTTTGCATCAATGGGGAGAAATTAGAGTGGGGGCATGTCACGAGTGGTATTCCACAGAGGTCAGTGTTAGGCCCTTTGTTGTTCACAATTTATATAAACGACATTGATGAGGGAATAAATAGCGACATAAGGAAGTTTGCTGATGACACCAAAATAGGTTGCCTAATTCATTCTAACGAGGACATTAGAGGACTCCAGGAAGATTTGAATAGACTGATGCAATGGTCGGAGAAGTGGCAGATGAAGTTTAAAATAGACAAATGTAAAGTTCTAAACATTGGGCAAGAAAATAACCATGCCACATATACTCTAAATAATGTAGATCTTAATATTATTGATTGTGAAAAGGATTTGGGAGTTCAGTGCATAAGTGTTCTCAATAAAGTGAACAGAATCCTTGGCTTTATATCAAGGAGCATAAATAACAGGAGTCCTCAGGTTGTTCTTCAACTCTGTATGTCTTTGGTTAGGCCTCATTTAGATTATGCTGCACAGTTCTGGTCACTGTATTACAAAATGGATATAAATGCACTGGAAAATGTATGAAGGAGGATGACAGAGTTGATCCCATATATCAGAAATCTTCCCTATGAGGACAGACTGAGGGCCCTGAATCTGCACTCTCTAAAAAGGCATAAAATTAGGGGGGATATGATTGAGGTGTATAAATGGAAAACAGGAATAAAGGGAATGTAAATAGTGTGCTAAAAATAGCTAGCCAAGACAGGACTTGCAGCAGTGGTTTTAAGCTGGAAAAATTCAGATTCAGGAAGAATAAAGGAAAGCAATGGTTTGGTAATAGAGTTGTGGATGAGTGGAACAAATGCCCAAGTACCATCATAGAAGCTAAGACGTTATGTAGTTTTAAAAATAGGTTGGATAAATACATGAGTGGGTGTGAGTGGGGTGGGTGTGAGTTGGACCCGACTAGCTTGTGGTAAAAGGTCTGATGCCGTGCTCCTTCCTTAAATGGATGTGACCTGACCTGTCCTGACTAGATGGGTGATTGGTTTAAGACAGGAGGTGACTTGGACCTGCCTCACATGGGCCAGTAGCCCTGCTGCATTGTTGTTGTTTTTTTTTTTTTCCTCAACAAGACTGCCATCTCCCACTGAGGCAGGGTGACCCAAAAAGAAAGAAAATCCCCAAAATTAAAATACTTCCATCATAATTCAACACTTTCACCTCACTCATACATAATCACTGTCTTTGCAGAGGCTCTCAGATACGACAGTTTAGAAGTCCCTCCAAACTGTTAATATCCCAAACCCCTCCTTTAACCCTTAAACTGTCCAAATGTAGACCTACGTTTGCACGCATAGCACTCCAAACGTAGATCAACGTTTTATTTTTCATTCCTTCAAATTTGGCACAATAGGCTTGAGTCGCCTAGACATGAGAGAATGGGTCTGTGCACTCAGTGTGCGCACTATTAAAAAAATCTGGAAGCATTTAGTACCTTGTGGGAGTTCCAGTTCAGTTGAGCACCAGCTAGAGCAAATAGCATGGCAAACACCAGGGATTCACTGATGCCATGTTGCTTTACCACTCCCATTTTAAGAGGAAAGTAAAAACAAGTTTGATAAATACATGAGCCCTCTGTTGTCCAGAGGGGTGAGGAAGGGTTGTTGAGGTGGTTCAGACATGTAGAGAGAATGGAGCGAAACAGAGTGACTTCAAGAGTGTATCAGTCTGTAGTGGAAGGAAGGCAAGGTAGGGGTCGGCCTAGGAAAGGTTGGAGGGAGGGGGTAAAGGAGGTTTTGTGTGCGAGGGGCTTGGACTTCCAGCAGGCATGCGTGAGCGTGTTTGATAGGAGTGAATGGAGACAAATGGTTTTTAATACTTGACGTGCTGTTGGAGTGTGAGCAAAGTAACATTTATGAAGGGGTTCAGGGAAACCGGCAGGCCGGACTTGAGTCCTGGAGATGGGAAGTACAGTGCCTGCACTCTGAAAGAGGGGTGTTAATGTTGCAGTTTAAAAACTGTAGTGTAAAGCACCCTTCTGGCAAGACAGTGATGGAGTGAATGATGGTGAAAGTTTTTCTTTTTCGGGCCACCCTACCTTTGTGGGAATCGGCCAGTGTGATAATAATAATAATAAAAATGAGTGAGTGTGGG